TTAAAACCTAATTCAGAATATATTACTTGATTCATATTTTCAATATAATGCAAATGAGCCTTTGTGATGTTTTGCTGTGAGGCCACCCCGACCCTCCTCCTTTGGTGATCAGATTGTGCTTTCTCCCGTAACTTCTACCTCAGTTTTAAAACGACCATAATGACATTCCCTAGGGAGTCAAGTTTCTATTCAGTACACATAATTAAAGTTCAAAAGGTCCCCTCCCCTTCTTTGTCTTCCTCTCGCTTTCCATTTCCCTGTCAGTGGTTTCGCAACTCATGAGGCTACTGCTGATTCACCCATTGAGTGAACAAATCCACTTGACAGGATGGTGTTTGCTCTGCCTGTGTGTCTCATTTTCACCTGGTCTCTGAGAGGCAACGAAGCACCTTATCTTCTGTCCCTTTGACAGGTTAGCAGTAGGAGGGACCACACCTTCCTTCACTGAGGTCATAAGGAAGGTAGGAGTGACCAGCCGCCTCAGTGCCAACAGCAACAACGCTGTTATCACATCAAGCGTGTCAGTGTCCTATTGTGCTCTGGCAGGGGTACATTACAAGCTCTAGTAAAGTGTGACAAATCTGCTAAATGGCTCCAATTTACAGTAACAGCGAAGATTGCAAAACTATGACTAGCAGCTTAAGGCTGTGAGTAATTTATTTAAGTTTTATAATCCGGTTATCTTTGACCATGCCACCAATATAGCGTAGGGTTTAGTAGGCCCCAGAGATAGAGGAAAAACACCGAGTGGTCATTCGAGAGGAAAAATACCTGTGTGTCAACATCTCTGCACAGCAAATAATATTGCCAGCTATTGTATTACTCAATAGCACCCCCTATGTTTTGGACATACAGCTTGTTTTTGAAAGATCAAGTGCACACTCCCAGGTTACTATTAAGGACCTCCTGGGATCTCTGTGACGCAGCAAATGTTGCTTGATACCTAACCCACAAATCAAGCTGCGTCACCATTGTGTTGCTTACTAAACGCTCAAGTTTTTATTTCCTCTCAAATCCCACAAATAAGAGCACAACACGTATATGTACGTTAGTCTTTATTCAAAACTGCACTTTAATGATGACAACACAATGAAAAATGAGGCCACTGGCTGTTTAATGATCGTGCCAATACGAACTGCGTAACATCGTCCTCTCCCACAACAGGATTACGCACTATCCATCTCTTGCGCAGCATCCTATTCCGAGCTCTTCCTTGACACGCCATCCCTGTCGACACCACGCTTTGTTTACATCCTCATTTTAACGTTAAAAACAGTCACAAGTCAAGTTTCGGAATGAGCTCAACTACGCTGTTATGCCTTCGCAGCACGTTCAACCATCGCAGCGGAAATTCCCACTGGATTTCAAGTGGCTTGTCGGAGTTCGCGCTGACGCAGTTTAATTTACCTGTTGTCATATCGATGATGAAGCACCGTGATTTTACAAAAGTGTTTAAAACCGCTTTTTGCCATCAAGCCTCCGCGCCCTAGCCTATAAGACTGTGAAAGCAAGACTTTTATTTTCTTTCGTCATTCTTTACACTCTCACGATAGCACCCCTGGGCTTTTATTCTTACCTTTTCATCCAGCAATCCAGTGGTTATGAATTACATAGTGGTATTCTCTACGCAACATACGCAGTATTATGTCGCTTTGGCCATGTAATAGCATAAATAACTTACGTGTTTATCCCAAGCCTGTCTTCCTCCCGTGGCGAAGGAGTGTCACTCACTTCCCGGCCGGTGGCACTCAGACCCGGTCCTCGCTGAACTATCAGTCCATCTGATTCAGGTTTCGACGTTACTGTCGCCATTATCAATCTCAGAGCGCGCGTTATCACAGTGTATTCCCCTAACGATTTTCCATAGCGCAAGACGAGAACCCCGCCCCTGACACTCCCCCGGTTACTGATTGGCCAAGCGGCTGGAGACTCTTTCGTCATCGCCAGAATCACATGTGGCTGACGCATGTTTACAAACATCGGTGAAATCACATGGTAATGGTCGCCGTTTTACCGTAAACTACCTCCCACTGACGCAGATACCAGATGTCGTGACGAGAGGCTGTTACGAAAAAAAATGAAAACAGCAAGTAGAATATATAAAGGATATTTATCATGTTAGATATAAAGAGTAGAAATCGCTGGTACACTTTACCTTTGGGGGGTGGGGCGCATTTCTATAAATTATATAGCTTTTCAAAAATTGTTTTCTTCTGCCCTACTCCCGCTAATGTCGCACGAAAGTGGACTTGGGTTATACTTTATCAGGCAATAATTGCTTACATTTTAAATGGCTAAAAAGATATGAACCATGATCATTTTAAGTAATATATTTCATAGCTGCTACACACAGACGAAGTTATATTAACATCCACATCAAATTATATAGAATGCTTAATTTAATGGCCTTGTGTTTTGAAGTACTCTCTTAATAAGACTAAAGCCACCCCTCCCACCCCTTTTTTCTTCTTCGTAAAGGGACCTCCTAAAATGTTTTGTAACACAACTGATCCTGCAGTAAGCTGTAAGGTTACAAGAAAAAAACAAAAAAACAATCGTCTACATTGCAATGAGCATTGTGTCACGATAGATGGCACCATATTCATGAAATAGTGACTTGGTACCGTGAGGTTATTTTTATGGGTGCATTATACTATATCAGAAGTGAAATTCTAGACATTCACTATACATCTTTTGTGAGTAACAGATGACTTCTATCCTATAAACATGCTATATTTTTTTATACCAAGATTCGGGCAAGGAGCTGCTCAAATGGTAAAAACAAAACCATAGACTGTGTGATTCTGTATCTGCCTTTGGAGCTACTGCAGTTTGTATAGTTCGGTTATTATCAGACCGAAGAAGACATTCATTCTAATTTAGGCGGTAAACGTCACAAATCCCGTAGCAACCATTACTCTGACGTGATTCACTGCTTTACTTCACTGCACTTTACGGTAATTGTTTTGTCATGTAGCTTATGTTTTGGTGGGATATTTATGGCAGCTGAGACTAGTTATTAAAGTAATTAAAGATCCCACTCTTACACAGACAAACAAAGCCATCCTGGTATGTATGTTTAAAGTGGTAGCTGTTTGATTAGACTCGGTTATTTTGATTTTTATTACACCTTCCGAATTATGTTCTTGTTTTTGAGAAAAAGTGAAAAATATTATTAATTTGTAAGAGAACAAATCTGTTTTAGTCTCAGCAGTGTTACCAGGGCAGCTATGTGGTTTAAATACAACCTCTCTAAGTTTGATATAAGTTCTTGTTTAAGAGCAGCATGATAATTGACTGAAGGACAAATTCCCAGTAGATGGAGACACAGCTATCATCTGAAAGGCTAGCTCAGTGGTATCAAACTGATTTCAGTTTTGATCTGTTGTAGATGGGAACACTGAAACTACTGTCCAATAACCTAAAAAATAAATAGTTTTGCTTTCTTTAAATGTTCAGAAGATTAAGTACAATCTGAAAACATTCACATTTAATTAATTCATTCTATCCGTAGCAGCCTGGGGTTTCTTTAGAAAAATAAGTTCCCTTTTTAGCTTTATGACCTAAAGTCATTACAGAGATGCTCATCAGTGTAACCACTATGGTCTACAGAACATCGCTGATGTGTTTGTCAGTAAGAAGTGAGTAAAACTGTGGTGATGATTCAGACTCCTGCTCAACATATAGTTTGCAGTTCTTACAGTAACTCTATTGATGTCACTATTCTTACCAACTTGCAACACAAAATACGTACACACCTACATACAAACTTATATATTCCTTCTTTGCAATTATTGCACATTTTCTTCTAGTGGAACAGGTTGAACACTTTGGCCCACCAAAGGGACTACTGGTCCTGGTTTCTCATCCCCTGTTAGGTCATCCACAGAGTGGAAAATATAGGTTGGTTTTGCACATTGTGTCATGTTTATAGGACAACTGTCACATTAAATTACAAAGACATCAAACACAAACTAATTTATTGTAGCTTCTTTAAATCTAAACTAAATTAAACTAAATCAAAGAGGATATAAACTTTGGGTTTGACTGCGAGCTAGAATGAGAGATTTTAAGTAACATGTTTTGATATGTGCAATGATGGACTGATGTGGTCTTCTTTAGAGTCATTGCTGATCTGCTGCCAGCCAACACTCCACTAACCTTTCCACCCTCACGGCTTTACAGCAGCAGCACAGACAATGGAGGAGTGAAGCCCGGCAGGCTGGGTAAGTGAACCATTACAGTAGGCATGTAAGGGCTGTCAGCATGTAACAACAAGGGCTGATAAAGGTCACATCAGAATGACAGCAGTGGTTAATTTGCTGTGGCTGCACATTAAAACACATATGAAGTCAGGCTTTTCACACATGCAAGCCCGCTCTCCAGTGTATCTGGACACTGTCAGGTCACTTGTTAACTAAAGCTACATTTAAACTTTTAGTAAACCGAACTAAAAATAAGAAAGCACTGAAACATCAACTAAAATGTAGTGTATTTGCAAAACTAACTCAAATGAAATGAGAATATATCAGAAATACATTAAAAAAAGCTTATGAGCTAGACTATCGGTGGATTTTCTCTCATCTGAGATACCAAGTATACCATCTTCAGGGTACCACAGACCAAGAAACGAGCAGAAGGTAACATGTCATGTCTAGCGTTTTGTTAAATTCGTCACAAAAAACATACAGTGTCTTTTAAGAGTGTTTATTATCTATTTGAACATAACAATCTTTTTTGAATATCTTTGGAAGTAATTAACATGATGAGGAAAGAAAACAATGGAAGGTCCTAGAATAAAGGTAGTTAACTATTTAATTTTATATAAGGGAAATTCTAGATTCTATATGTGCATTACAGTTGGATCAAAAACACTTCACAATAATGATTGCTATCTATCTTTTTGCAAAGACTTGAATATATCGTTATCAACGCAAATATGCATTTTATACTAAAGATTATATGTGTAGCAAAATACAGCATTACATTTATGCAAATATTCAAGCTCCATTGTAGCAGACAAAGTTGAGTCTGTCTGCACAGTCCCAGCTGACCAAGTGCTGCTCATCCAGTGAGAGGGCCCCACAGCGGTGAGTCCAGGTGGGACACTGAGGCATCTCGTTTTGGTTCTTGGCCTGGTGATCAGCAAGGATACGATCCACCCAAAGCCAGCTGCCAGCTAGGTAGCGGAGGCTGGTCCACATGTTGTTGATTTCGGCTGTTCTGCTTGTCGCCATGACTTGAATCAGATCAGAATATGAGCGCAAGCTGAACAGTTCCATGCCCTTTATACGACAGTGCTCGAGTGCTTCCTCCCACGTCTTGTTTTCTTTCACCAGGACCAGGTGGCTCTTAAAGCAGAAGAAGAAGAATTTGTTCTCACAATTCTTTTTACGCCAGCCAGCTTGGTTTTTTACAACACATCTGTTATTAGGATCTATAGGGTCCTGTGGATCCCAGTTGAAGAAAGATGCATTTGTCCCCCCTGACCACTTCCAGTTATCACTGTCATCCTGGTAGAGACCAATCCAGTACAATTTTTGTCCCGATGGCAAAGAGGAAATGTAACTGCTGAATAATTCCTCTTCATACTGGTTACCGATTGATGACAGATCAGTATATTCATCTCTGCAGTATTTTCTGGCGTCAGACCAAGTCATTTCTCCTTTGACATAATAATTAGTACCAAAGTAGGTGCAGAGGGTCATCTTGAAGAGACCCATAAGAATAAGCAATCTGAGAGTGCTTATCTTCATGTTGAGTGGATGTTAGTTTCTTACTGTGGAATGACTTAACTCTGTTGGGGACTTTAAGCATTTGAAGGAGCAGCAAGCATCCAATCAGAGTTCATTTTAGCCTGGTATGAAAATGCACAGGTGTACTGAAATTAATTGATGGCATTCACAAATAAGGCTGCATGGAAAGTATTAACTAATGATTATAAGGGGTTTGACTTTGTTTGAAATTTTCCCAGTCATCTGTGCTACTCATTCAGGACTGATAATAGAAAAAAATTGGTATCATTCTGCCCTCTCTGTGGGAAATTATGGCATTAATTAGTTGCTCAGAAGTTTTTGTTTGTTTGTTTGTTTTTTAATACGCAGATTTTGGTTCTCGGATTCGAATGTGATGTTGATACTAGCCTGTCAACCAGGGTTAACTTCTCAGCATTAAGCTGATTTGCAGACATCAGGTTTCTAAAACTCTGTTGGCCTTCCCTTAACTTTTCAGAAAACATAAACGTGTTAGATAAATAAAAAAAAAACATTCAATTTTAACAGAAAAAAAACTGGTGAGACTGAAAATGATTGAAAATAGTGTGTTTTGTGTTGCCCTCCGTGTAATTCACATGCAAACTCAGGACTATTAATCCATGCAGTCTGCTAATGAAATGTTTTGAATTTTTCATTTGTGCTTTTAACTATGAAAATTTACACTACAGCATTTAGTCATGCAGGCTGCTTTCTGCACTGCCTTAGTCAAAATATTGATTTGCATTTCATTAGGTAGCATGACTGAGAACCCTGCATAATGTAATCACAGGACCACTGTTAAACTCCTTTCATTGCCTTTATTTTGAAGAATTTGATCAATATGGAATAACTAGAATTCTTTTTCTTCTTCTTAATAACAGGAAGAAAAATAAGAATTTTAGTTATTCCATTTTTGTCAAATACTATTGTATTGACTGCGATAACATTAGGGATAAAATATGTTTTTGGCAATTTATTATAGATGGAAGTAAATGTGTAAGCATACTGCAAGGCTAACACTGGACTTTTTTTGCACAAAAACTGCATATAAAAATTCAGCTAAGTAATAGGTGGATTAATTAAAATAAAAATTGAACTTTTTCCTATGCAGATGGAAAGTACAGAAAAATATTGAATATGTTAAAAAAAACATCAGCAGTGCATTAATGCAACCATAAAAACAGAAAAATATTTGTCAGTCTAAAGCAATTAAACTGTGACCAGTGTTCAGTTAAAGGGGTTTTGTTGTTTCCTAGGCTAAAGTCTAAATCACTAAAGCAACTGTCATTTTTATGTCAAATTTATATAACATGAATAGCCTGGCAACATTTTTTTATACCTCAGTGATACTAAAGGTCCAGGCAACTTACAGTCAGTCAGGTGACCACGAACTCCTCTATATATGAAAGTCTTCTACATTAAATGTGAGACCATTACACAACAATGTGCAAGACTGTTAAAAGTCCTAGAGAAAAGGTAAAGTGTTATTGTTGCAAAAGGTGGTTCTATAAGTTGTTGAATCTTGAGGTGTACTTAGTTTTTCATGCACTACTTTTGAAATTTGACTTTTTTTTTAATTAAATGAAAAACTACATAGTATAATATGGCACATGTTTTTTGTTTTGTTTTTATCCGAGGTTGTGATTTTAAAGCTCAGTGCACGCCGAGCCAAGCTCATGCTGAACGGATAGTATTTCCAGCTATCTGTGTTACCCATTAAGATCAAATAATGAGAAGACATCAAGTAGTGAGTCTGAAATTGTGTATTTTTCTGCCTTTGTACATAAAATTTCAATAGTCACTGATTTTCTTTTGTCTTAATATACTGAATGCGAATGTGACGATACAGATAGAAATATGTACTTATCTCTCAGATACCATTTTCCTCAATCTGGTCTCATCTGGGATTGAACTGTTTTGGGGGCATTTTCTATCAAGCTTAAAAATTGTGTTACTTTTACATGAATTGTTCATAGAGTCCAGTTGAAAATTATACAAGCATTAAAATATTAAATGAGCTAGTGTTAGTGGAACTGTCCTGTCACTTTACTGCACATTTAAAGTCATCAGTTTTTGTGGTGGAGTGTTCAATAACTTTAAAGAATACAAAGAAGTAGTTTATTTTACTTGTTTGTTTAAGGTCTTAAATGTGTGGCTCCAGACCCACATGCAACTTATTTGCCTTTCTCATGTGTCTTCCTGTGACTTTGACAAAATGAGTATGAAAATTTTTGCTGAAGTTTAATTTTGTACTATCAGCATTTAATTGAGTCAGTAGCATAAATACAGATAGGATTCAAAGTGGCCAGAGCTTTATTACGGATCTTTTTCAAAGTAGCCCTAGATATACTTATAGAAATAATCTTCCTCCATTCCCAGTTCCTCTAATTTGTTGGTAATTTAAAAAAAGTAAATACTAAGCAAGCAATTGTGGTAAGGCAACATAACAGGAGAAGATATACTTTATTTATCCCAAAATCTGGAATGTCTTTTGTTACAACACATAAACAGACAAAAGAACAGAACAACAAACAACTATCGGCGTATATTTCATGGAATTTAGTAAGTATTGAAACTGACTTTGATGACTATTTTGTCATCACAATTTACATGCACATTACATTTTAGAACAACATAATCCATTTATGTTTGTAAAGTCATAGATATATCTATATGAGCTGATATGTGATTTCGTAGTATAGATTATATGTATATCACACTGCACTGACACAGTTTATCCTACAACAGATGGAAAGGTTTACAGTAGCAGATAAAGTTCAGCCTGTCTGCACAGTCCCAGCTGTCCAAACGCTGCTTGCTCAGTGAGAAGGCTGCACAACGGTGAGTCCAGGTGGGACACTGAGGCAGCTCCTGTGGTATTCTAGACTGCTGGTCGTCAATGGCCCTATCCACCCACAGCCAGGTGCCAGCTAGGTAGCGCAGGCTGATCCACACATGGTCAGTCTCCGTTGCCTTGCTTGTTTGCAGGACTTGAACAAGTGCTGTCTTAGAAAGTAAACTGACCAGTTCCATGTTCTGGCTGCGACAGTGATCGAGTGCTTCCTCCCACGTTTTGTTTTCTTTCACCAACACCATGTTGTTGTGAAAACAGAAGAAGCTGAATTTGTTCTCACAGTTGTTTTTAAGCCAGCCAGCTTGACTGAATACAACACATTTTGTGTTTGCAGCTGCATCATGCCCTTTTGTCCAGTTGAAGAAAGATGCATTTGTTCCTCCTGACCACTTCCAAGTGTCATGGTCATCACTGTAGAGGCCAATCCAACTGTCTTGTTGAAGTGATGCATCATCTTTTTCCTCTGAATCTGAATGAACAAGTGAAAAAAGTTGAAGCAGTGCATCTTCTTCTTCCTGATTGTTGATTGAAGACAGATCAGTGTAGTGCTCTCTGCAATATGTTCTGGCGTCTGACCAAGTCATTTTTATGCTAACATAATGATTGTGCCCAGTGAGGATACCAAGGGCCAATTTGAACAGAACTGTAAGAATGAGGAATCTCAGAGCACTTATCTTCATCTTGAGTGTACAAGAGAGTTCCCTTCTGTGGAATGACCTTGTCCTATCAGGGGTTTTAAGGAACTTGAAGGAGCAGCAAGCATCCAATTACAATGCATTGTAGGCTGCCTCTGCCTCAATTTTATCCCACAACTTAGACATTCACATTACTCACACTCTCATTACACATACATATAGGATCTTGGGGGTGGGCACGATACACGGAGTCCAAATTACCATCAGGGTGTACACCTCACCCCTGGCGTCGTTGCCCACCTCTCAATTTTAAATACACGTAGACATTGAGGGCTAGCAGGAGGGACCATGCGCTTACCTGCTGCTCTCTGGCAGGTAGCTCCATGCCCTCCTGGGTTTTAATTGCACCTTAGAACACACATGCATCAACACTACAATGAGCGGGTGGAGGGAGGTTTGGAGTCTTCTCTCACCCCCGTTCTCTGCGGCCTGCTGGAGCGGGGGGCTAGGAGGAGGAGTTGGCCGTCCGACTGCGGTCTGGAGTGTGGGGCCTCCCCGCTGCTGCGGAGTCGGGGCGGTCTGCCCCCCCCCCCCCCACCGCAGGGAAAAGGGTAACACCACCTGGGTCTGGGTGCAGTTCCCCCCTCCAGGGGCAAGGGTACCTAGACCCGGTTCGTAGAGTACGCTTGGGGAGTGTGATCGTGTGCACAGCGTCTCTTTATGTCTGTCTCCACGTTGGTTGAGTGTGGAGTAAGTGCATATGAGAGCATGAGGGAATGGATGTTTGTGTCTGTGTGTGCCTGTATGTCTGTGTCTATATGTCAGGTTGGGTATCAGACACCACCTCTCTGGGGACATCTTATGCCCTCCAAGGTTTGGAGGCCTATCTCCACCCACCACCACTTCCCCTGCCAGTGGCGGACTCCCTCAGGTGTCGGTGCGTTGGTGGTTCTTTGTGTGTAGGGGTGGGCGTCCGGGTACACACCGGCTCACTCCTTGACGGCCGCTTATCGGGGCCTGGAGCCTGGGGCTCGCTCGGGCCACTTCGGAGGTGGGGTGCCCCCGGCCTCTCGGCCTGGGGCTCGATCACTCAGGCACGGCTGGCTGCCGGCGGAGCTCACGGGCGCGTCACTGCAACTCCCCCTGGCTTCTGCTCCACGGCTGCTGAGTGAGCCCTCATCTGGGACTCTCCTCAGCTCTTACTGGGACAGTGGCGCGGCTGCCCCTCTGTTGGTCTTCCTTGGTCTCTTGTGTTCTGGGGGCCTCTGGATGTCTGGAGTTTTGATCTCTTCCATACCTGCTTCATACCCTGGAGGACGGGGCTGTGGCTCCCCACACTCCATAGCAGATCGTTACATGGAGAAACCTTTGGAATGCAAGCATGCTGATCCACACAGGTATGCACACAGGTGTACACATGGGTATTCACAGACGCGGACTACAGCTTTCTTGGCTGCTGCCTCAAAGCACATTGTGCGCTGTCTATCTTGCGTGCTGCACAATATCGTTTATTA